ACTGGGTATCTACAGGCAGAAGAATGGAATTGGACCCTTATCTTACACCATATACAAAAATCAATTCAACATGGATTAAAGACTTAAATGTAAGAAGTGAAACCATAAAACTCAGGAAAAAACATAGCGAACAAACTCCTTAACATGGGTCTTGCAAATGACTTTTTTAAATATGACACCAAAAGCATAGTCAACAAAAGCAAAAATCAACATGTGAGACCTACATCAAACTAAAAAGCTTCTGTACAGTAAAGGAAATAATCAACAGAGTGAAAAGGCAACCTACAGCATGGGGGAAAATTTTGGCAAACCACATATCTGATAAGGACTTAATATCCAAAATATTTAAGGAATTCACAGAACTCAGTAACAAAAACAAGTAACACAATTTTAAAATGGGCAAAGAACCAAAATAGACATTTTTCTAAAGAAGACACACAGATGGCCAATAGGTATATAAAAAGGTGCTCAACATTGCTAATCAGGAAAATGCGAATCAAAACTACAATGATATAGTATCAATTCACACTTGTCAGGATAGCTGTCATCAAAAATTCAAAAGATAACAAGTGTTAGCAAGGGTGTGGAGAAAGGCAATCCTTGTACACTCTTGATGGGAATGTAACTTGGTACAGCCATTATGAAAAACAGTATGGAAGTTCCTCAAAAAAATTAAAAACAGAACTACTATATAATCTAACAATCCCACTTTTGGATATATATCCAAAGGAAACGAAATTAGTATCTCAAAGAGATATCTGCATTTTCAGATTCCTTGCAGTATTATTCACAATAGCCAAGAGGGCCAGGCAAGGTGACTTATGCCTGTCATTCCAGCACTCTGGGAGGCTGAGACAGGTGGATCACCTGAGGTCAGGAGTTTGAGACCAGCCTGGCTGACATGGTGAAACCCCATCTCTACTAAAAATACAAAATTAGTTGGGCATAGGGGTGCATGCCTATAATCCCAGCTACTCAGGAGGCTGAGGTAGGAGAATCACTTGAACCTGGGAGGTAGAGGCTGCGGTGAGCCGAGATCACACAATCACAGTTACATTGTCTTGTCGCCATTGCCTCAAAAAAAAAAAAAAAAAAAAAAAAAAAAAAAAAAAAAAAAAAAAAAAAAATCCAAGATATATAAACAATCTAAGTGACAGATAAATGGACTAAAAAATATGTCATAAAGAGATAACAGAATACTATTTAGACATTAAAAAGAAGAAAATCCTGCCATTTGTGACAGCATGGATGAACCTAGAGGATGTATGCTAAGTGAAATAAGTCAGACACAGAAATAAAAATACTGTATGTGCTTACTTATATGTGAGATCTTTACAAATCAGACTCATAGAAGTAGACAGTAGAATAATTGTTTCCAGGGGTGAAGAGGTGAGAGAAATAAGATGATGTCAATCAAAGAGTACAAAGTTATAAAGGATGAATAAAATCTAGAGATCTAATGTATAGCATGAGGACTACAGTTAACAATACTGTGCAATACAGATGAAATTCACTTAGAGAGTAGATCTTAAGTGTTCACACTACAGCAAAAAATGGTAATTATGTGAAAAGATGGATATGTTAATTGGGTTGACTAAAATCATCAGGTCACTATGTATATGCATATTAAAATATCAGGTTGTACAACTTAAATACATATAATTTTAATTTAAAAAAAAAAAAAAAACTTTTTTTGAAACAGGGCCTCCTCTGTCTCCAAGGCTAGAGTGCAGTGGCAGGATTTCAGCTCACTGCAAACTCCATCTCCCAGGTTCCAGTGATTCTCTTGCCTCAGCCTTCTGAGTAGCTGGGGTTACAGGCACTCACCATCATGCCTGGCTAATTTTCGTACCTTTTGGTAGAGACAGGGTTTCACCATGTTGGCCAGGCTGGTCTCAAACTCCCAACCTCAAGCCATCTGCCCACCTCAGCCTCCCAAAGTGTTGGGATTACAAATGCGAGCCACTGCACTCGGCCCTAATTAAAATTTTTTAACATAATAGAAGTACAACAAATATTCAACTGCAGTTAGAACTATAACAAGGATGAGAGTGTCAAGAGAGTGTTCCAGAGGCAAATAAGAATCCAAAAGAAAATATTCCTCATATCTTTGGCCATCTTGAGCAAGTTGAAGGAGATTTAAAAGATTAAAAATTTAGTTATATGGGTATTGGGGGTCTGCCACCTCCTTTTATGAGTTACTGACAAGTTATATACCATTTTAGATTATTAAACTTTTACAATAGATCTGTGTAACAAGAATGGTTGAAAGATGTGCTGTGTAATAAGAAAACAATACTGGGTGAATCAGTGCAATAGGCATTCTAAGTATTCCACCACATACAAACACGTTGAATATATTTGTGTATTTGTAAAATCCTTAATCAATGGTTTTCTTGGTGGTGATACACAAGACAGCACAAACTTACATAAATACATCAAAACTGTATGTTTTATCCACAATATATACTGAGCCCTGAAGGAACCTTAGATATCATCTAGTTCAACTTTTTTCCCATGGATAAAGATCTAAGACTCAAAAAAGGTGAAATGGCTTGTTTTTTCTGTTGAAAAATAAATAAATGCTTAACTCTGGATCAGTGCAACTATAAATAATTTTCTTTTTACCTTTCTTCTAGAATTATTCTATTATTTTTATAATGAGAATAGTAAGTTATTTTAGAAAAAAAACAATATCCCAATATTCCTTTAAAATTTATGCATTTCCCTGAACCCGTTTGCCAGTTTGTGTTCAGTTCTCAGTTTCTAAAGTCTTCATCTCACTGAGCACAATAGCTTATGCCTGTAATCCCAGCATGGGAGGCTGAGGTGAGGGAATCACTTGAGCCCAGGAGTTCAAGACCAACCTGGGGAACATAGCAAGATCTCATGTCCACTAAAAATTTAAAAATTAGCCAGGCATGGTGGTGCACACCTATAGTCAGTCTCAGCTACTCAGGAGGCTGAGGTGGGAGGACTGCTTAAGCCCAGGAGTTCAATGAGCTATGATCATACCACTGCATGGCAGCCTGGGCAACAGGGTGAGATCCAGTCTCAAGAAAAAAAAAAAGATTAAAAATTTTTTAATTTTAAAAGTCTTCATATCACCTCAATTCCTCAACTGAGATTTCTTAACTACTAAGTAAGTGCAAGCTCAATGTCTCCTTAGAGTCTAAAGCCAATTGTAGGAGCTTTGGCAAAGAAGCCCATCTTTACTAATCTTACTAATTGCCCATATCCTAATTCTGGTGAATGAAATCTATATTGACAATGTGTCTAACACACGAGTGTACTTTGTTCTTGAAAACTCCATGTCCCAATGAAGTCTAGACTAGGCTGCCAGAAAAAATACAGGATGCCCAGTTAAATTTGATTTTCAAATAAGCAACAAATTTTTGATATAAGAATATCCCAAATATTGGCTGTAACACATACTAAAAAATTATTGATTACCTGAAATTCAAATTTAACTGGGAATCCTTTATTTTTATTTGCTAAATCTGGCGACGCTAGCCTGGTCTCTAAACCCGAGGATTAGACCTTTAACCGGCTCAAAAGATCTTCAACAGATTACCAACTGCCTGTATGGATTTTTAAATGTTCTCTGTTCCTGGATCTTCTGTTGTATTCCAACAGTCTGACAAATCATGTATTAATTCAAATTGTAATATCCAATACTGGCTACCTGTCCATATTAAAATCTTTT